TTTAACAGCATTATAAAAATAACCTTCTGTTAAAGTTAATTATGTCTTATTTATCTCACAGGGCAGCATGGTCCCAGGGTGTGCAGAGGCGCCACAGCTCATTACAGTCACACCATTATGTTGGTTGTGAAGGACATAACAGAGGCAATAATTACAACTCCCTCCTTGCCACTGAAATTCAGCCAGGTCATTGCAAATGATGTTTTGGGAGATATAGACTCCAAAATATCTCAAGGAGTGAAATAAGAAACGCTCTTTAGGAGGTTTCTAGAGCAAATTCTATTTCTAGAGCAAAACAGAGGTCTAGCTACATTTGCCATCCGCAGAGCATTCCAGCTGGATGGCAGCTCCCCACATCCCTCTCTGGGCACTCAGTTGAGTGATTTGGTCAGCAGTCAAGCCCTGCTGTGCTTGTGAATTGCCCAGACCCCTCGATACTGCCTGGCCCTGCTGCCTGCTCCAAGCTGGGCTGGGGACTAGGCTGCTGACATGCAGAACAAACCCTGGGCCACTGACGCTCCAGGGAGAGGGTGGAAACATGTCCTCGCTGCCCCAAGCTCAGCTGAAACCCGTGCTATGTACATATGCATGTTTGTGAGGTGTAATGTGATGGAGGGCACACTGGGACTTTTTGGATCAAGCATTTGTCAAGAGCTAGAAGCCAAAAAAAGACAAGAAAATAAAATAAAAAGGAAAAGAAGCCATGTCGGATGGACAGCAATGTTTCCATATTTACTTTGTTTACAGTGCTTTGTAAATAGGTTCCAGTGAGTCTGTCTTTAGATGGATGTTGTGTCAGCTGCCTTCCAGTGTATCTTTGTCATGTAGGTTTATTTACTGTAAACTACTTATGCAAGTTCAACTTTTCTAACATGTTTTTATTTTGAACAGTTTTTTAATTGACATTTTCAACAAATAAAGGATAAAAGTCACTTCTTAGCCCTTGGAGCTGCTTCCTGTGTTTCTGCCATGAAAGCAAAGCCAGTGCTTGTTCTGGGCATCACTGATTTCCTCAAAATGCCATGGCAGCATCATACTTCTCTGATTTACTGGTGGGAGTACTGGTGTGAAAGGTGATGCTGGCACTTGGACTGTTGCTCCCATTATCACCCATACCTGCAGTAGGCCAAGGGCACCTGGTGCCAGGGCAAGAGATGCATTTCCGTCCCTCAGGCCCCACGTGCACGCTGTTCACAAGGATGCTTTATGGAAAACAGACTGCTCTGCTGCACCAGGCAGTTGCTGTAGATAAGTGACTTCCTGCCTGTTCGAGATTTTATTTTTTTTAGTTAGTGTGTGTTTTTTTCTGGCAATTAGGTGTGGTGAACAGGATTTCCTTTGGTCTACCATCACTTGGACAAGACGTCTCCTACAGGCTGGGGGTTTTAACTCTTTGGTGGAGATGTGCCACGGTCTGCGGTCTCAGCCCGCAGCAGAAGTGCAGGATCAAGGGCAGGAGGGCTGGACCCTCCTTCCCCAAACACAGCGCTCAGAGTAGGAAAAGGAACAAGAGTAAAAAGAAACACTAGTCTTGGGTGCATCATGGAAAAACACCAAAGTCCAAAACTTCCAGAGGGCAGAGTTAAATGGGATATTAGAAAGAAATGCTTCCCTGTGAGGGTAGTGTGGCCCTAGAACAGATTACCCAGAGAAGCTGTGGCTGCCCCATCCCTGGAAGGGTTCCAGGCTGGGTTGGACGAGGTTGGATGCGGCTTGGAGCAACCTGATATATATATATATATATATATATATATAAAACATGTATATATACATGTAAATATATTTTTTAATTTTTTTTTTTAGTGTGTATTGAACCATGCAAACACCTCTCCCAGCAGATGCCCATGCTGCTGCTTGTTACTGCCACTGCTCATCCATCACCCCCTGTGCCAGTCCTGCTGATGTGCCCTGCAAACTCATTACCCTCTCAAACCTTTCTTAACTCAAAACAAAAATCAGTTTGGAAATGGTAAAATCCACAGCCTGAGGAGTGGCATAAAGGCCTCATGTCAAGGAAAAAAAATCAATGTATTGACAGCCTTTTAAACTTTGCTTGGGGAGAGGAAACAGTGCCAGCTACAGCAACAGGCAGTGCTGGGGGAGAAGGGCAGCAGAATGGCAGCAATTGCATCTCTTCCCCTCACACACAACCTCACATCTGAATCCCATGGGCTGTTTTTGACAAGTCAAGAAACGGAGGCAAGAAACAAAAGCCCTGAGAAAGGCAGCCATGGGGGCAGGGGCTGGGGTTGGTCAGGCAGCCCAGAGGCAGGGGAGGTGACAGCAGGCATCTGCTGCCCTTGCGGCAGAATTTATGGACTTGTTTAGTTACTGTTTTTCTCCTCCCCTCTTTAATTGTTTTCCTCAACCATGCAATTTGCAGCTCCAGGACCCCTGCTCAGTGATCTGGGGACCACAGCCCAGCCCAAGGTCTCTGGCAGCGCTCCTGGCCATTGAGGCTGGGGGCTGCAGGGGGCTTCAAAGCATGCACTGATCCCAGTTTCTCCCTGCCTGTGACGTGCAGGTTTTCTGCTCCTTGTTTTTGGCCACACACACACTCCTCACAGCTCTCTCCACCCCATCCACTTGCTCCTAGCTTTTCCCCCTGTCTCAGGCCGTGCTAGTTTGCACCATCTTTGTTTTGTGCTGTTGCTTCCACCCACACTCCCACCATGACCGAGCACCTCCACCTCCCTTGTGGAGGTTTGTGGTTTTTCAGGCAGCCCAGCACTGCCTCCGGGAGCCTGGCCCACAGGGCTGGCTGCATTTCAGCAGCAGCAGGGATGTGGTAAGACCCACACCAACACAGGGCACCCTGGGAGGCAGCAGTTGCCCAGATGCACACACAGCATGGGTAAAATCCATCCCTCTGCTCAGACGCAGAGACATCCCTGCAGGCTCCATGACCTTAGGACCGGCAGGAATAATCCTCTTTCAGTCAGGTGTCCTAAATCCCATTAAAACTAGTCCCACCTCTCTGTTTCATAGCTGTACTAGGGGCTTCAGCCTTGGTGTCTCACTGCCCTCCCAGGACAGGGACTCTGTGCTTCCTTCTGCTGCAAAAATGTCCCTAGTGTTGCCGGGCCCTGGCACTTCAACATGCCCCAAGGAGCATGGTAGAATGGCTGCCTCTGGAGGCTTCTGGGATTGGCTGTCCCCAGTGTGACCCCCAGTGCCACCCCACTGCCCTCTTGGTCCCCAGACCCCAAGCAGGACCCTGTGAAATCTCAGCCTGGGTTTGGGCAAGGTGAGCAGCATTCAAAACATACAGAGCCACCTATGTCTGAATGCATAAATTGTATTAATTGTGGGGTGATCAGTGGAAGAAACCCCACACTGTGGAAGGGGGAACCACGAACACTGAATCATGCTGCAAAACACAGCATAATGCACCATCCTCTGGCGTTCAGTCTCTCTGGTTACAAATATAAGATGGGTTTAGTTAAATAAATAGTCTTCATACAAGATGTCAGACAAGAGTGGTCCACCCCCTAAAAGAGTTAGGTAGTTTTGGAGAACTTTCAAAAAATACTTACTGAATTATAGTGAAACCAAAGAGTCCCTGAGCTCTATTGATTTTGAAGGGGGCTGTGCTGGGCACCCAGCTCTGCAATGAGCTGTGCAAAGAATGCCCCTTCTGTCCCACCAGTGGTGGCATTTGGGCATTGTGTTAGGACTAGACCTGCAGCCTCCAGCACAAAAAAGCCTAAAGACTGTCCAAATCTAGAATCTCTTCTGTTTGCAAACTCATTGGCATCCAAGATTATTTCCAAACTTTGACACTCTGTGTGACCTGTATAACCAAAAAGCCCAGGCTTGTCACATGTTTCATCTTCAAATGTTTTTTAAAATGCAATAAATGTCCTTGTGCCCTGACCACCTTCTCTGCAGACCAAGCTGGAGAATGGGGTTGGGAAGACCCTAGTGTGCAGTGTCACCCAGGTACCCCCTGCCCAAGAGGGCATCTTCACAGTCCTGCTCTCCTGGAGCTCCAGGAAAAATGCCCCTGTGGACACGTCCTCACTGAGGATAGCCAGAAGATTCTCTACACATGTGCCTTGGAGGGAAGAAGTAGGTGGTCCTGCCACCCCCATGGCTTCCTGGTTGTCCTCCTTTGGTAGGAGGGGTCTCAGGAGAAGATGCAGTTCCAATTTTGATGGTGGTGCCCAGTGCCCCTTCCACAGGGTAGTGAAACTGTCCACTGGCAAAGGTTCCTCTGCCTGCAGAGGTGGGAGGACAGTCTGGTGAATGCATTCAGGTCACCAAGAGCAGACCACCACTAGTGCCCTACTTTCTTTCTGCCTTGAAATCTGCAGTCCTCCCTCAGCCACCAATTACCCCTTTGGTGTGGAGTGATTGTCACCAAATATGAACCCAGCCAAGGCAGTGCCACCCTGAGGAAACTGGTTGAGTTTCACAGACAGGCATGGATGGAAAAAAGGAGGTTCTCCAGATACAGCTGACAGTTGGGGAGGAAACATTGCCTCACCAGAAGCTACCATCTAAAGGCAGTGCTGGGCTTACTGATTCCTTTAGAGAAGATGTTCTTAAGCTTTTTTATGTTTTTCCATTGATGTTTGCAAGCAGATTGGTCCTGGAGATATGCATGAACCCAGCTTGGCTGAAGTGCCCTGAGCCATCCTATGTTCCTAGGAAAGAAACATTGATGGCAGAGTTTGGTAAACAAAGCTCTTATGACATAACAGGGACATCAATCCTGCCAGGAAAGTGGTGTGTGGTGGACCCAGACACACAACACCAGCGTGTACCAAATCACTGGCTGTGAAATAATAAAAACTGAAAGCAAATAATAACAGCTTCAAACTTTGTTCCATTTGTGTTCTCAGGGCCCCTTGACCCTCATTAATAAATAACAAAATATACAAATTAAGAAACAAGAAAAACAGAGAGGAAGAGGAACATAAATAAGGGAAAAAGGGAAAGGCACTTTGTCCAAGAATGTTGGGCTGGATTCCCAGCTCAGGACAGCCCTTTCCTCACTACAGCTTGAAGATGCCAAAGTAGGTGTTGCCGTGGCTGTACTTCACTTTTGTGGAGTCTGTCACATTGACAAAGACCATGTCATCTTCCCGGAGGTTGAAGACACCTCCCACACGGATGGACTGGAGTTCACAGAGGGTCTTCAAGTGTCCTTCTTCATGTGTCTTCAAAGAGCTCTGTGTCTTTTGTCCTTTCAGCAAGAGCCGGTCCTCTTCCTTGGGGATATGTAAATAAATATAGAGGGTGAAGGGTGCCAAAGACACTTCCGTGGTGCAGAAGCTGACTTGAGAGTAGATGTAGTAGAGCCCTGCTTCCTCCACTTTCAGTTTCCCCTCCTTGTTGGATATCAAGCTGTTTGTGGGGCCATACATGGTCTCCCTCCACTCCAGCACTATTGGGAGAAAGCATGGCAGGTGAGCTCAGAGAAGGAGACTTCCAGTTTCGCAGGCTGATTTGGGAGACACCCACAGACATCTGGCCTCAAAGCCTTTGTCTGTCTTTGGGGTGCATTTAATGGGGCACCCAGCCCAGGACACCAACCCCAGCCCAGGGGAGCAGGGACCCTTGGCCAAGGCCAGGGCAGATTTAACCCATGTTGCTGATCACTGGCTTTGTCAGCCTTGACTGAACATGTGGGCGGAGGTACATTTAGCTTCCTTCATTCAGCCTAGTGGAAATGCTTAGGGAGGAGGATTGCCTGTATTTACCACAACAGACCAAACACTGTGTCACTTCCATTTGCTGCCTTTATGGATTTCAGTGGGACACCCTCCAAGCCCTCAGAGCACTACCAATATATGCTGCAACTCTGCTCTTCAGAGCCTCCCATCCCAGTTTTTCCCAGCTGGGGGCTGCCTTTCCTCCAGAGTCCTTCCTCCTCTCGGCCTCTGGAGATGGCAAGAGTTTACCAAGGAAGTACAAAAATTAACATTGCACAGTTGCTATCCCTACCTAAGTGCAGAGCTGCCAGGGCTTAGCACTGTTTCCCATTGCCAGGACCATAGCCCACACAGATCAGGTGATGCCATGGATTTTGGGACACTTTTGGTGTCATCGCAGTAGCTCATGTGGTTAGTGCAGATAAGCCCATACAGAGATCTGGAAGCCATGGCTGTAGGGGCTGAGCTCAGCTACGACCTCTGGAATTTGGATGTCTGCTTTCCCCAGCCTACAGGTACACCTGAAAGAGCAGCCAGGGGGAGCAACTTGGCTCCAAGGGGAATAATGTGTTCGACTACCCCAGCCCAGAGACAGTGTGCCATGGGTAGTCCTGGAGGAGCCACGCAGCCCATGGACCCTGACCAAGCATCCCACAGGGATATTTCCCCACATGGAGTTGAGCTCCAGGCAACTGCTGCTCTCTGGACCATGCTTTATAGGCTCAACAAGTATTTGAGCAGGGAGTTTTAAAATACAGCAAGTTTCTCACTTCTCTGATCTTATCTAACACTAAGCTTTCCACAGGTAAACTGAGCATTGGGTGAAATGCTGCGTCAGAGATGGAAAGAGCAGTTGCTGATTACTGTCAGTTACTCCAGAGTTAAATCAGAAGTGCTTAGATTGTGAAATCCTTGCCAGATGGAGCGACTGACCTTGCAAGCTCATACTCACTTTGGTAATCCTTGCTGTTGTGGGAAGTCCCTCAGCTAAGGCTAAGCCAAGGGATAGAGCAACAAGAGCAACCATAGTTGATAGAGTGGAATGCACAAATGCAAAAGGACTCAGGTGTTTCTCTCAAACCTGATGTGGCCATCGCTGTGAATAATTGCACCTTGACTAAACCACTTTGGAGCCCTATGTTGTAAAAGCCCTCAGCCAGCCCATCTTACTACCACCATGGGTGAGAAGAGTACTAATCAGCAGGCGCAAATGCAAGCAGAGCCCTCCGGCAGCAGCCACCCTGGCACGAGATGGCCAGGAGACCAAAAAGATCTATTTTAAGAACAAAAGAAAAATGGGAGGTTGCTTTCCTTAAATACAAAGCTAAAGTTTTCCACTCATATAAAACACTGGAAAGATTAAGTCCTTGTGGTTCATTTCTAGGAAGGGCACACACAGGGCTACTGAGGACAGTTAGGATGTGTGAACCCCACATGGCACAGGTACACGTGGTGACGTGACTACTGGGAGGTTTGCTGTGTTTTGGGGACACACTTTTGTGCTGGAGTTGTTCTGTCTCTTTCCCTGCCCCTAGAGAGCCACAGGGCAGGACTGGGAATGCACACTGCTGCAATCCTCTGGCTCCCTGGTCAAGGTAGGACTAAGTGAGTCTTACCTGAGCCTGCCTTGTTGCTCTGCTGACCTGCCAGGTGAACTGCAATTGGCTCCCTCTTCTCTGCTGCAATTTAGAAAGGCCAGAGTTATTGATGCCTTGGCACTCACTGTTTCCCCAGTGCTCTTCTGCAGGGACTGCAGCACCTTCTGCCCTTAATGTTTCTCTACAGGCTAAGACATCATCTCCCGATTCCCCAGGCCAGAGTGAGGCAGGACTCCACTCAGCAAAGACCTTCAGGTGCCTCTGAGGTGAAACTTCTGATGGATGAAGCCTGTGGAGGAGATGGTGCCACCTTGCCCACTGTTGGAACAGGACCTGGATGTGCCCACATCTCACCTGCCAGAGATGTCTCATTCTTGCGCATCAAATGAGGATGCTCATGGTGCTCAGGACCTGCGATGTAAAAAGGCCACAGATTTAATTTCGGGCTCGATTTCAAGAACTTCAGACTGTCTACTCTGGCACCTAGAGCAGCCTGCCCTGGGGAGACAACCATACCCAGTGTCCCCCTCTGCCAGCCCACACCGAGCTCAGTCCTATAGCCATGGGGATGCTCCAAACCCCAACCCGTCCCCTTCCTCCACACCATGTCCTGAGAAACTCATGGGCTGTTGAAGGAAACCCCTTCCCAGGCCAAGGAACTCCTCCTGCCCCAGCAAGCCATGAGTGCAGTGGTTACACCAGGAAACTCACCTCTCTGCATTTCAAATTTGGGCTGCTCCTTGCGGGGTCTGTCCTGTTACAACAGCAAAAGTATATGGGTTTTTTTTCCAAATCAATGATTTTTTGAAAGTTTCTATACAAAAGGTGCTCCGGTCATCGTGAGGTTTGTGATATTTGGCTTCAACAGCCCTGTCAGCTCGTGACAGAGGATACCTGAAGCCAGAGAGCCCCTCTTGTACCTTCCCCAGCTTCACACATGATCATGGGCTGTTTGCAGCAGGAATTTTGTAGGGTTAATGTTCTTAGGTTTTATTCAATTAAAATGATGGGTAAAGTTTATTGAAAACAATAAGATAAACAAACAAGAAAAATCTCCTTTTCATGTGGGAGAGACATGAGGCAAGTGCTGCCAATGTGCATCCCTGCCCTGCAGTTGGGGTTTTCAGGACTGCTGAGCACAGCCTAGCTTAGATATAATTTTTGGTGGTCTGTTGGGTATTGTTGCACACCCGAAGATTTAGCTGAGGCAGTTTTAGCTGAGGCATTTGTTGTCATCAGGCAGTGACAATGAGGAAGAAATGTTCCTCCCCTGTCTACTCCGGCCAGCAATAACCACTCCTAAGCAGTGAATTTGGGCTGAGCAGGATGAGAGCACCTCATTGCAATGCACGTTGCAATGAAAATTGGCTCTTCTGCTTCCAAATGTGAGGAGCCTGCTCCAACTAGAGATGCCATCCCTGAGTCCATGGGGTGGCAATTTGCATAGCACCCTCATGCTACTCCTCACTGGTTGCCAGGAGCTGTTTCCTGTCCCAAGCCTTGCACTGTCATTGACACCTGGGCAAAGGGGATGGAAATGTGTTCCCAGTGGCAGGTGACCACAAGAATCCTCACAGCCGGCACAGGACTGGAGCAAGGTGCCAGACAGCAGAAAATCAATTATTTTCAGACTGGAATCAGGGAGTAGTGCCAAGGTGTCTGTAGCTCCATCTTGCCCACCACAAGCCCCAAACACACCATGGCATGTTGCAGCTGGATGTGCTCTGATCAAGGGCATTTTAGGAAAAAATCAATGAGATTTTTCAATAATATCAATATAGTGTAAAAAGAATACAGTATGAAAAAGGGCATGTGCTACACAGCCTAAAAGTAAAGGGCACCCATGGTTTTAAAAAAAAAGCTTGGGGTGAAGCTCTGTGTGTGATTGGGAGCCCCTCTCCTTCTTCAGTGGGATCTTTATCCACCCAACAGTATGTACCTTGCACTGGATGTCCTGGAAGCCCTTTATAACTTTTTCACAGTCCAATAATGTTGACTTCTGACCTTCTGCTGTCTGACATTTCTGTACTTTCTTCAGGAAGATGTAATCTTCATTAAAGCTCAACACCTCTTCCATCTGCCGACAGAGGAGAGAAGGGAGGGTCAATGGGATGTTAGTAGGAAACCTGCAACAGCTGGCAGAGCCATGTTGCATTCCTACCAGCAATAAATCCAGCCTGGGAAGCTCAGGGTCGGGTGTTCAGCACTGGGATGAGATGGGTAGACAAACCGTGGGCAACAAGACCTTCCACCAGACACCCAGCACAGCATCTGTGCCCTCATCCACTGGGAATTGAACCCATGAGATTCACCCTGAATGACAATGCTAGGTGACAGGAGGATTGCTCAGGATGTATTTTCTATCCTCTTGATAATTTAAATATCCATCTCTGACTTCTCCTAAAGAAACAGAAATCACAGTGGGTGGCTCCGGGGCTCGGCCTTTGCAGGTCCTTCCCCAATGGCCCCAGCCGGCAGCTGGGATGCTCACTCAGCCCCTCACTGCCCTGTCCACCCAGAGGGGTTTTAAATTTTTTCTACTTGCTTATTGACTAAAAGCGCTGCTAGCAAAACAAAACAGCTTGGAGGTCGGAGCTGAATTGTGCCAAGATCTTCAGATTAAAAACAAAAAAAAATCAGAAAGCCAATAAGAAAATAATTAAATGCATCGGAATACTGATTTTTATATTTACACCTGTTTGGATTGGTTTTTTTTGGTTTTTTTTGTTTTTTTGTTTTTTTTTTTTGTTTGTTTGGGTTTTTTTTGTTTTGTTTGTTTTTTTGTTTTGTTTTTGTTTTTGTTTTTGTTTTGTTTTGTTTTTGTTTGGTTTGGGTTTTTTTTGTTTGTTTGTTTCTTGTAAAAAAACCCTAACATTCAATTAAATGGTAAAGAGGAAGTGCAGCTGGACATGAAGGCACACAGCCAGGCAGAGAGCTCAGCACAGGTAGCAATAAGATATGGAGGATCAGATTTGAAGCCCTGCTACAAGCTCTGAAGGCAACTGAAATCTTCTTGCCACCCGTGTCTGCATTTCAGCTGCCTCTGATCCTCGGCCATGTCTCCCTGTAGTCACATTTCCCTCTGCCAGAGACCCTCTACACATTCCTTCACAGGAACCTGCAGCCTGCATGCAGTGAAGTCCGCTTCCAGTCCTCTGATATTAAAGCCCCTCTAGCTCAACATTGTTCTCCACCCTTGTAGATCAGAAACCACACATCTAAATTTCAATTTAAGTTGAAACAACACATGCAAAAATCAGTAACATCCACCGTATCAATGTATCAGGTAAGAAAAACGCATTCTGGGTTTTAGCCACATATTTCTTTAGCTGGCAGTCGTTTCTGGCTTGAAGGAAAGTAGCTTTAGATTGGTGATTTTAGGCATCATGCAGTGCAGCTGCAGCCATACCAACCTCAAAAACAGCTTGCTGGACTTTAACTTTTTGGTAAATATTGTCCCAAGTATTGTCCCAAGAGACAGGATCACTAGTACTGTGTACCTTCAAAAATGAAGTACTAAGGTCCAGTCTTTTCTTCCCTAAACTGCAAGACAGCACCTGAAGTGTTATGTTGATAAAATCACCGAAACATGAAAAAAATTTTATTTCTGGACCTTTCATCCTCTCAGTTAATGTCACAGTGCTACGAAGTGCTACAAAACCAGAAAAACCACCACCAAGCCTAAAACAGCCACTTGAATGTCTAAACCACACTCTCTTGTCCTCAGACTAGCCATCAGCTAGCAGATTTATTCTAAATGTCTCTTGGCAATTGATCATTCTTTTTTTGTTAGCAAAGGGAACAGATCTCCCACATATGTCTCATGGCAAATTAAAGCAGAAATGAGAACATGGGTGTGATAAATGATACTGCTGCCTCCATTCAGTGGTTAGCACTATATTCATCCTCTTGGTGAGCAGATCTCACCAGACATGAAGTTAAAGCATGCCAGCAATCCAGCAGGGACAGAGAAAACCTTCTCCCTCCACTTACCTTATCTATCCTCATGTGAAGATACAAACAGAAGAGCACAGTCCCAATGGTCTGCACTACAATAAATACAGTGAGGAAGCCCATGAACATTTTCATGGTGCCAGGAGCTGTGCTGCTGATGGGACGGGGTGCCTCAGGGCTATACGGTTCGTTCATCCTCCGTGCTCGTTGCTGGGGCTCCTCCAAATGCGCTGCTTGCAGGTAGCATGAGAACTGTTGCGCGAGCGCCTGCTGCTCAGGGGATACAGGGTACAGCAACCTACACTTCCTGGAAAAAGCTCTTCGTAGTGGGTAGGTTTGTTCACTACTATCTCCCAGAACAAACAACAACAAAAAAGTTGCTTAGACTTTCTTCTCTGTTGCACTTCCATGCTTTTTCCTACTGTTCTACCAGAAACAGAGAAAGGTTCTTATTTTGTATATTCGTATCTGCCCTTGAATCACTCAAAAATATTCCCTGGTGAGTTTTTTTTTTTACTGTTGTGGATGAAGGTTTTGTGGCAAGTTGCCTTAAAAGAATGTACACTGAATACAAGTACAGAGCTGCTGAGCAGTGCTGTGGGCTGCCAGGGGCTGGGAAGCACTCAGAAATTTGGTTGTTTCTCAAAAGGGTAAGAATGGCTTTTTCCTTTTGATTTCCTCTAAGAGAAGGATGATTTCTGCAGTGAAGATGCTTGGCTGAGGCAGGTGGGTTGTGCTGGTTTCTGCTTTCCCTTGTGCTCCCCCTGGGTGATGTCTCTGCCTGGATAGGCTGGATGATCTGGGAGAAAGGACCATCTGTACAGACACTGTAAGCCTGGTGTGGGCACAGCTTTCATGCTCCTCAGCAGATAATGGGACTTCGAGCTTGGTGCTTGGCTATTAGTTTGGACAGACAAGTTTTAAGCAGCTTTCTTGATACCCTAGTGAGGTGCTCACCCTGTACCCAAGGGCACAAACCATCTCATACCCCGTCCCACTTATCCCTGTTACCTGTACCTATGTACCTAGGCATGAAAAGGGCTGTTGGGAATGCCAGATATTCCAGCCAGCTTCTGACCTCCCAGTATCACTGCCATGCAACTTTGAGAAACCCATGTCCCCTCTACACCCTGACCTCTCTCGAGCTGGCTGCAGGAGGTGAGGTCCTGCCCCCCGGCTCTTCAGGAATCCAACATTCATGAGTACATGTAACGCTGCTAAAATAATATAACAAGTAAATACCAGGGGGTCCTCATTGCTTGCAACAGCAGACAGACCTAATTTTCTCCGTGTAAAGAGAATAAACGTGGGGGTTTGTTGGGATGCAGAGGAGGGGGGCTGCAAGAATATGTTGAGGAGGACTGGAGTGCTGGTTTGAAGGCTTCATCAACCATCATGCAGAGTGGTTTTGAAAGCGGTATGCTAGAGGAGATGTTCTTATCAGATGTGCACACTGCCAATACAGGGTTGGATCCTGTTGGTGGGGAGTGCTGAACAGGTTCTGTTTGCCAGCACCCCCAGGAGAGGAGGGTACACAGTGCCTTTTGGGGCTGCTTAGAGCATTGCAGGATGGAATCCAGCATCTGCTTTTCCTACCTGCCTTCTCTCCCGCATCCTGCTCTGTGCAGTTAAGGTGCTGTGAGCTGCAAATGCAAATGCTGGTAACAAAGCACAAACACCTCTGCAACTGAATCAGCGTTTGACCTTAGCAGGTCACTGTGCTCCTAAATATAACACGCTAATCACAAGTGTGGGATGGCTCCAGGGTCTTTGTGGGCAACATTTGAGTAACAGGCTAGAGGATGCCTTGGGGTTGAGGCCCTGGCTGGTGCTTTGGAGTCTTGTGACCCTTCAGCTTGCCAGGACTGTCACACCTCTGCAGAGAGGGGTTGGGCTCATCCTTTGGGAAGAGGCTGCCGGCTCTGAGGTCAGCTCCCCTGCTGCCTTCCAGAGGAGAGAGCAGCCGCTGAAGTCCCTCCCCTTGAGTGCCCTTCCTCTGAGGTCTGCCCACACTCCCTGACCATCCCAAGGCTGCCTTGCTGCTCAGCGCACCAGCGCTTTCCAGTCTCCTCAGGAGTGTCTTCCCAGTGGCAACAAGGTGACCTAAGCAGTTCTGGGAATACATTAGTTGTGTCCCCAAAGAGGGTCTCCTCAGCATCACCGAGCTTTAGACCTGGTCCCTCAGGCTTGCAGCTCTGCTGTGCAGAGGACCAAGCCCCACACAGCCTGGGGCCACTGCCAAGTGCCTGATTTTATTTCTTTTTGTCTTAAAATTGCCATTATCTTAGGAAAGGCCAAGCCTGGTCTCTTCTCAGGCATCTGGTCTGACATCAAGCTCCTGCATACTGTCCCTATCATGGCAAGTTTGTCACAGGCAGAAAGCCATTTGAAAATCCCCAATAATACTCCAGACAGCTGAGGGCCACGAGGCCACAGTGGGGAGCGGCACCAGCTCCCCAAAGTTGTCATGCTTTGCCTTAGCCCCATCACATTCACCAGCATTTTCCAGGGCTCTTCAGAGTTTCCTCTAAATTTAACGCATCTGGGGGATGTCACTAAATTACATGACAACTCATCATTTAATACTGTTCCCAAATGTGCTGGGACAGAGGCTGTGGTTTGGAACCACAGTGCTGAGTGTTGCAGAGAGTTTTTGCACAGCTATTCCTGAGCCCTGGCTTTCTCCAGTCGACAAAACCTTTCCAAAGACATTTCTGCAGAGCCACCTGCTTCATCGAAATGAGAAGAACCTGTAGGAAACATTGAAAAGCCCAAGCATGTCACTGGTCCTGTTGCATGCTCCTTGATGGAGGCTGGAGCCTTAGATGGGCTGACAAGTTTGGTGAGGAGGATTGGAAAGGGCTCCAGTTTTGGGTACCCAGCACAAAACACCACCGGTTGGCCACTGGTGCTGCAAACCAGGAAATTGAGTTGTTCCTTGGCAGCACTCTGATAGGAGAAACTAGGTGGAAAATATGACAGTGGGGATCCTGGCAGAGGTTCAGCAGCAGCAGTTCCTCTTCAGGAAACCATTGCTCCACACCAGCAATCGAGCCCCTGGCTGCTGCAACTGGTGGGGGAGCAACCCTTGTGAGCTGTCCACTTTGCAGTACCTGGTCCTGAGGCTTCTACAGCTCAGCCTGGACCACCACAGCTGTTCTGCCAGGGGTGTTGGATCAGACAGGAGAAGGTGACCAAGCCCTGTGGCAGGCAGACCCCCAATGAGCCGTTCTGACACTGTGGCTGTTCAGAGCCAGGCAGCCCAGGGACCTGCTGCAGGGTATGTGAGGTCACTGGCCTCTTGGAACATGCTCTATTGCCACCTCAAATGGACAGTGGGGATGGGGGGGACACATATCTGCAGCTGTTTGGCTGCTGTAGGAACATGGGGGAGCATAGCAAAGCAGGGAACACAGGGAAAGTGGGACATGATCCAGAGAGATGATGGGCAAGGAAGAGAGGATCCAACACCAGAAGGAACAGTCTGCCTTCATGGGATAATCCCAGGGAAGATGGAAGTCACATCTTCACCTGGTGATGAGCCCATCACCATGAAACCAACTGGGTTTTCTTTCACATCCCAAACTCTCTGAACGTAACCATACCCACCCACTTGTGGACCCAAACTGGTACAGTTCCTCCAGCCAGATAACCCCTGGGTGAGACAATGGGAAAATGTGATCTACTGCTTGCATTCCTATTGCCTGAGCTGTGGTATTTCCGCTGATCAGCAAATTGTCTCCATTCGTATTCGGGGTTCTGAGTTCTGTTTACTGAGAAAATATCCGGTTGCCTGCCCCTGTGATCTGTCAAAGGCTGGGAGCATCTCTGAAGGCAGCAAGGTGAAAGCTGCTGAGAAGAGAGTGATTTTTTGGGGTTTTTTGGGCGCATGCTGTGGTTTCTTGACTAGCTTTTTTAATTTTAATGTGACGCTTGCCCCACATGCTCTTTATAATTAACAAAAGCTGGGAGTTGTGCAGTGCTAAGAACAATACACTCAAAAAGATTTTATTCTGAGTCAGAAAAGGAGTTTGCCTGCAATGCCGTGGGTGTGATGCAGAAAGGAATCTATGAGAGAAACTAAATTAAGTCACTTCAGGCCAGGGCCAGGGGCAGAAAGGAAATTTGAACTTTTCTGCCATTTGCTTTTTCACTTCTTTAGATTTTTCACTCTCCTGTACCTTCTGAGCTTTTATGTCTCCAGGACAACCCTACCATCAGAGAGGAAGAGGGAACAGAAATAGCCAGAGCACTGCAGAAAACATCACCAGCATCCAGATAAGGAAAGGTTGCATTACAGCTTCTGTTCACTATCTACCTTAGTCAAATAAGATAAAATTCTTGGAGTCCAGAGCAGCAAGAAGCAGTTTCAGGGAGAGAAAAACATGTCAATGCTTGTGAAAGTCACATTCTCCTGTGGAAGAGAAGAGCAGAATATGCTGGTTGTAGCCATCATGGTGGCAATGACAGACTCCAGCCCCATTGCTTGCCATGGTCCTCACCCACAGAGAAACCCATGTGGAGATGAGCAAAAGTTCCAAGCTCCAGCAGATGTGAACACAGCAGGTAGATCAGCTCAGATGTACAGTGTCATCTCCACTGCATTCTCCCTGCAGATATGAGAGAACATCTGCCCCTCCAGACATCTCTACCACTGCTCAGAGCAGCAAAGAACAATAGAAATAGAGCAACAGGGAGTGGCACTGGGGTGCTGCTGTCCCTCTGAGCAATGCTGTTCCAGGGTCACTGTCCCCTGTGCCCCCTTCTCTCCTTACCCCCTCACCTCCCTGCCCTTCTGTACAATCCATAGTTGCACCCCAAGCCAGCCTTTTCCACAGGGAACTGAGGTGGGTGGAGAGCAGGGAAGAGCAAAGAAACAAGCCCCAGTGACCCCACAGAGGATGGAGGGCCCCAAAGGGCATGTGGCTTTCATGCCACATCTGGGTGACAATGCCAGCCCTGCTGTGCTGAGCCCCAGAGAGCACCTGGCCTCAGAACTGCTGATGCTGAGTTTTGTTCTAGCTGCGAAACCGCAAATGGCACTAGAAACTTCTTGCTGTGAAGACTGCACCTACTTCTCCCAACTTCCTAAAAATAGAGCCCAGTGTGGGGAGGCCCACGGCCCCGGCTCTGCCAAACAAGCCCCTCTTGCCTGAGTCATGGCGGAAGGGAGCAGAACATCCCGTGCCTTCCCCCAGTCTCGGTCAAGTGTTGAAAGCTGCTCTCCCTGCACGGGGTGCGGGGGCCTG